GGGTTAGGGTTTAGGGGTTTATGGTCTCGGGTTCAGGGGTGTGGTGAGTTCCATCAGGCTTGGCATTAAGCGTAGAAGCAGCATCTCCAGTGACTCGGTTTCCCTAGGGGTCCATGTACCCAAATAGTATATACTTTGGCCCCAAAGTACCTATATAGGGACTACTTTAAGGTCAAAGTATATACTATTTGGATACATGGACCCTTAGGGTTTAAAACCTAGGCACAGTGCAGGATGCTAATACGGTTTGTATTGGCTTCGTTGTGGGGTCTCTACAGGGGTGCATGGGTCATGGGGCCTTGTCAATTAGAACAGGGTTTGGGTTTAGGGTTTAGGGTTTAGGGTTTAGGGTTTAGGGTTTAGGGTTTAGGGTTTTTTTTTTAAGCTGAACTACGCCCTCCTGTGCAGTCAGACGCTGACCATTCAGGCCTTCAACTGTGAAACATCCTCAATCGACGAAAGACTTTACAGGACTACGGGACCTATCACGAACTGCCGTCGTTACAGCATCTGCAGCATCACTCATCGAAAGATGTACAGAGTGACCATCCACTACGCCCGTATTTACAAAGGGTGCATCAGAGGGTGCTTCAGACGTCAACGCACATCCCAAGTGACTATTTATCTCAGACTCAACATCCGTGGCATCCATGGCGTCAACATCCACTGCTGGGATACCCAAACTTGTAGACTGAGCCTCTGACTGGGAGTTCTCACACATTGGGCACAGAAGAGTAGTCTCAGTATCTCCAAAGTGGACACCCACAATCCCCTGAACATCACAATCAGGTCGAGGGCAATGTAGAACAGGACACCCAAGTGAAGCATTGTGACGATGTGCAGGCGCTGGAGGTACAGCAGGAGGACACCCACGAGCAGGTCCTTCACCATGTACCGCAGGACGGAGAGGGACAGCGGAAGGACACCCACGTGCAACGCCATCCCCAGGTGTCTGAGATTGAGTTGGAGCTCGAACATGATCCGGATGAAGAGGTTGTTCAGCAACTGATCCATCCGCCACAACATGGTCACTTGATGATTGAGCACCCCCTTCCTCACTGTGCTGGCAACTTAGGGGGAGGAGCTCAGGGGAAACTCGCATGTCCTCAACAACGTCATCCAAGACAAGGTGGCATTGTTCACCCACTGCTGCAAACAACCGTTGTACTTGCACAGCCATCCTTTCGCGAGCAGTGATCGTGGGCATCGAAGACGTCCTTTGGGTGCGATCTTGTAGTACACGACTCACAACCTGAAGCGCGGCCACAAGCAACCAGCATCGCCCATTGTGTAGTGCCAACATCATGTTGGGACGTGTCACCCATCCTATCAAGGAACTCCGAAATCTCCATACGGCAGCGACGATACACCCACAGATCTTGAAGTTCTTCACCCTCACTACTGAGCAGCGGAAGCCTCTGCATCAGAGACCCTTCATCGGGAACATCCTCTTGTGTAGTTCTTACACCCTCCTCCACGAGGCCTGACTGCTGTTGAAGTTCAGATGTTTCGGGAACTTGTTGTGCAGGAGCAGATACACCCTCCTGGTCAATTTGTTGGGTTGTCGCAGGTACATCCCCACCAGTAGAAGGACGAGGTGCAACCTGACGTGGTGAGCGAGAACGTCCACGAGGTGGAGCACCCGATGATGCGGCGATAGTCGCCAAATCATCTCCCATGTCATCAGTGACAACGCCCACATGATTGGCATCACGCCCATTTGCCTCTCGTGCTTCATCTTCCGAATATCCATAACTATCAGGCGGGAACGCCCTCAGGTCGGAGGGCAATTGGTCAGGTTCCATCCAAGCCGACGCAAGCTCATCATGCAACGTATCAAGAAAGGCTCGCGACATAGCAACAACCAGAGCGTGTGCCATTTGCACTGTGCCACCCCGAGCATCACCATCAGGAAGGACACACGAAACACCCCTAAAGCGACGCCGAATGACTGTGGCCAGAGCATCCTGCACTGCAATTGCACGCGTCGCTGCAAGGTCAACGACCCTAAGACACCATTCAACATCCTCAGGTCCAACATTCCCTAGCGGAGGTTCAGAGCGCTCAACTCTACAGAGCTCAGCCAGAAACTGACCTAGGGCTCCAACAGTTTCACGACGAACACCCATATTTGACAAACGTTGAGCTTCTTCAGGCTGAAGACTCTGCACCAACGATGTTGTGTCATCACCCCGCGAAGTTGCGTCCCCGCTAGCTTCAGGGGCACTGGCAACGGCTGGGCTCACATCCAAAACCACCGCATCATCCGCTGCTCCGGCACCGTGTGCACCCTCCGGCGACCTGCCACTAGAGCTGCCCACAACCCTGGGTGCTCTCCTTGTAGAGGGACGACTGGAGGACGAGCTGGAAGATGAAGAGCTTCGGGATCTGGGGGACCTGCTTCGTTGTACACGCCCTTCACGTCCGTCCGAAGTAGCAGGAGGTTGTGGGGGAGGCCTTGGTTGCTCCACGCTCCTCATCTGAACATCCACCATCCAGTCGAGAATCCTTCCCATGACATAGGTCCACTGACGATTCCACGCAACACTTCTCGTCCTCATCGCAGCATGTGAAGGAGTTCGCATAGCGGGGTAGTACGGCAAGGGACCACTCGTACCCGTACGCGCCTGTAGTAGTTGTACAACCTCCTGAATATCACGACACCCCCTTTGCCAGGCTTGCACCCATTGGTCAAGTCCCCAGCGGTACTCGGCCCCTGCATCATCCTGTTGATGTTGTTCAAGGGTTCGCATCATATCTCGCAAAGCACGTCGAAGATCATCTGGAACTTGAAGTTCATGCAAGACACGCTCTTCGGCTTCATTGAGTTGCATCAAGTTCACCATGTCAATGTCCACATCCTCCGGCAACTGCATGAAACCAACGTCATCACCGTCCGTAGTGTAGTACACGTCCTCGACTGCAGGCACTCCAAGCTGGGACCAATCAACAACCATGACGTCCCCAATCACCCAACGTGCCCAATCCTCCCATTGTTCAGCTGTCCACTGCGGTCTCTGTGCCTGACGCCGAACACCCCGAGGAGGATTTTGTACCAGGTTGAGGACAGCAGCAAATTGTGCTCGAGCTGCCGCGGCTTCAGGGCTATCACGTGCAGACACACCCTTGTAGAAAGCAGCTGGGCGGAACGTCCCGTCATTCCACGAGTCCAAGCGTCCCTGACGTCTCTGCTGACGTACTGGTCCTTGTCCACCCCGATGAGCTCGTTCCTCGGACTCCGTGCGGCTCCTGCCATGCCACACCCAGTGTCTCCAGAATCCATGCGGATGTGGACGATTGTAAGGAGATCTGGCGGAGCTCGAAGGTCTGGACGAAGGCATAGGATCAGTGGAACTGGATGCCGGAGTTTCTGGACCAACACCCCTTTGTGTTCCCGAGCTTGCAGAAGACGCCCTGTACGAAGAGCTTCTACCACTTGTGGTGCGAGGGTCACCGTCCCGTTGGTTTGCGAACTTTCTATCCCAGCTGTTCAGGTCATTGTCGTTATCACCCCTCCTCCAATAGTCCCTTTCAGTAGAACGCCCCCATGTAGAACGACGCCAGTCAGGACTGTAACTCCCCCACCAGGCAGGGTCATCAGGCTCACTAGTCCACGGATTGTGCCAATCATCTTGTTGCCACTGTGCTCCCTGATGCCTCATCCACCCTCCTCCATACGTATTCTGCCATCCATCGGAACTGTACCATCCATCCTGCCAATGCCGCTCTGGATCACGAACAGGTTCAGTATGACCTCGCCAATTTTGTGCAGGATCACGTCCAGGTTCAGCATGATTGTTCCATCCACCATCATGCCATTCTCGCGGAGGTTGTGCTCGAGGAGGACGTCCTGGATCTTGTGTTGAACTGGTATCACCCTGAGGATTGACTGGGTCATTTGCATTATCGTACCACCCACCACCAGTCTGTCCATCATGCCATCCACTTTGTTGTGCGGGAGCAGGTCGTTGATTTCGGTCGACATCCATGGGGGCATTCTCCATAACTTCATGCCCACCACCATTCTGCCCACCATACCAACCACTCGATCGCATAGATGAAGGACGTCCGTGACGGTGCTCAACATCTCCTTCCCCTTCGCCTGGAGCAGGAGTGTCATCTGCCCATTCATACCACCCTTGTGCTCCATCTTGCTGAGCATTCCATGCATTGGCAGTGTGCTCAGGATATGGTTCAGGCTGCGGCTGGTAGTCAGCAACATGGTCAGATGAAGTCGTAGTAGACGAGGTGCACGCCCACGTACAGCTTCCCTCAACATCTAGAGAGGAGCTCCCTGAAATAGGCATACTGGTAGTAGAAGACACCCAGGTCGTGGTAGAGTCTTCCGCATCATCCGAAGTGGCCGAACTTCGCAGGTAGCCAAAGAAGCCTCCCGCCAAGGTGGCCCAAAAGAGACAACGCCCCAGGCGCGCCATGGAGCGATAGATCGAATTGAGGTTGAAATGAAGAGAGAAAAACATCCACTTGGGCAAGAAAAATACTTCATATTCCTGGACAAGGTGGTACACGACTGTCAATGAAGTTCACGAGTTCGGGAACATCACATCGCTTCGAGCCCACGTAGCGTACAGTCACAACCTGCTCCTGCTGTCTCAGCTCTGCAAAGCTTCACTGGCAGGCGATCGCACTGACATGACGAGGCACAAAGAGGAAACCTAAGGACTCATGTACAGAACGCCCATAACACCGTTGAAGAACACCGTCACCAACCGATGCCGAAGGGAACGAACAACTTAACAACCAAGTGATAGTTGTCGCCCTCGACACCATGACACGTCCATGGCTTCAAGCCACTTGGGCAACAATTGTTTCCACCTTTCTCTGCACAGACTTGTTGTTTGCCAGTCAACACCCAGCACCGAGGCGAGAGAACGCTCAACGTTCGCTGCTCTGAAGCACCTAGGATGGCGTAGTCCACCAGCTTGCGGACGAACATCCTGTTGACGTTGCCACCATCCCAAGCTTCTCCAGTTGTGCATCAAAGCCGGAAGACACATGGAAGCACCCTCAACCCGACGACTCCAATGTCCCATAATTTGGAATTGGAGTCTTAAAATCTTGCTACTCCAACGCTCACGTCCACTCTGCTGAAGCCAACAACGAACATCCCGAAGGGACCTGGCATTATAGCGAGTCCAATCCTCGTCAGGAAGGCGTTTACATCCAAAGATGAGCCGAAGAAGACGAAGCTGTAAGGAGTTCATGGCCGTCAAGTCGTCCTGCTCCCAATGAACAGCTCCGGCGCACCAACTCCAACACCCATCAATGAGCATGCTCATGACACGTGCCTTCTCATGCTTGGACCCCGGGCCACAAAGTATGTGTTTATTGGAGTGAAAAGCGGTCCACACCCTGGATTGTAATTCTTTGGCCTGTTGGTTGGCGGCTGCATCCAAGTCGAAGTCGAGCCCTAGAACACGCAGAGAGCTTCCAGGGGGAAGAAAGTCAATGCGGACTCCGTCAATTGACATATATCGAACACCCTTGTAGTACTTAGAGCAGATCACCGCCGTCTTCTCAGCCGCCAAGGAGAGACCTAACTTCTTCAGCTCGGCAGAGATCATTTCAATGTTGGACGCAATCTTGCGTGGGTTTTCACCCCAGACAAAGATGTCATCTTGGTAACACCCAATGTCGGCAGGCATGTCATCCACTGGTTGGGCGGGCTTCTTCCATGTCTTTCCACCCTTGAGCTGATGGACAACATGTGCAATCATAAGCCCAAAGATTTCAGCTGATTCAGGGCTACCCTGGCGAATACCGCGATTGCTGCGGACATCTAAGGGAGCACCGCCCGGAGCACAACCAACAAGTCGGTTCACATCCAAGAGTTGAAGCATGAAACGAAGTTCAAATGGACTCCGAACAAGGCCACAAAGGAAGTCAGCGACGGCCCTGCGATGAACAGTGTCAAAAGCGGCACGAATGTCAAGCTTGACTGCTACCACCCCAAGTCTCCATTCGCGCGTCATATCACGAAGTCGGCCAAAAGCACCATGTAAATCTGCACATCCACGGTTGCGGCCAGCACACGCCCACGGTGAAGGTTGACGTATGTCTTCAAAGGACCTGGCCATCACAATCTTGGACATGGCTGCCGACAACATAGCTATGGGCCTAAGTTCATGCGCACCCTTCGGCCAACGTGTCTTAGGGAGAAGAGCGAGGAGGGATGTATTCCATTCGTCCGGGAGAACACCCGAATATAGGACTTCATTGAACAACTTGGCAAGCTGTTGAGGAGCATGAGCATGAAGACAACGTAGAAGGTCCACCCCAATCTTGTCAGGCCCAAGCGACGCACTTGCTCGCATTTGGTTAAGCGCACAACCAACTTCAAGAGGCTGAATGGCCACAAAGTCGTTGTCCGGGCAGTCAAGTGCACGAACACGTCCACAGAGCTCGGTATGCCAATCAAGCTGATCATCGAAAACTTTCGTCTCAAGGTGCTTGCTGACGTCCTCACCAACTTCCTTGGCAGACTTGTCAGCGAGAAGGTAGCCCCACCAGTTGCGCACCCCTTTCTCACGTTTCATCTGACGATAGACACTCCAGCTTCCAGCAAGGATCGCCCCAATGCGGCTCTGTTGCCACTGACGTCGTTTTTGTCGTCGCTCTTTGTGTACAGACTTCCAAAGATTTTTTGCTTCAACACCCGAACTGGCTTTGGCTCTGGCAATCAAGGCGAGGGTCTCGGGGTCGTCGCGAAACTTAGCAGCCTTACGAGTGGAGGTGCAGGTCTCAGCCATGTTCTTGACATCGTCCCATGTTTCAGGTGCAAATAGCGAGTCAGGCTGAGACACCCAGCGCAGTCGCCCATCTTGCCATCGTCCACCCTTGCTTTGCTGGATTTCAACTGTCATCTTGAGCATGGCATGGTCTGTGTTGATGTTGAACCTGACATCCTCATCGACTTCAACTTCGCCGGTGCATATGCAACGCACAAGAAGGCAATCGATGTGCCTCCCTTCCCTGGACTCATCACGCGGGTAATGTGTTGGTTTCCATCTGTCACCCATGACCGGCGCAATCATCCTCAGGCGGAGGGCGGAAACCATCTCCAGAAACTTGTCGGTCTTACCTCCTCCATTGCAGACATTCACCCCGTCACGGTCAAGAACCTCTGCCCGATTCCAGATGAGCTCAACATTGGAATCAACTCCGACAAGGTATGGTATGTTCTCATGCCACCCACGGAGCATGTTTTTGCATTCAACAACCGCTTCATAGTACTTGGCCATGGACACCCCTGTTGGGAGGTGAATAGAGGCCAGGACAACGCGCTTCGAGCTGCGAAGACGAACCACCCAGGCTGCAGCAAACGCACAGGCCTTCCGATCAGTAACGCAGTCAAAGAGATCATGCGAAACAGCAACGGCAACTCCCCTCCATTGTGCTGGGCTTCGGTGTGAAAGCCAAACAAAGTTGTCTGTGTTTTGTTCATCCCATCCGGTATCACCACGTGGTATTTCTTGGACACAGAGAAAATCAAGTGAGCTTGCGACCAAGTCTGTCTTGGACAGAGCCTGACCACCCAAATTCCAAGAGGCCATCTTGCGAAGGAAACGTTTTCCACCAGAAGGCTGCAAAGTAGACGATGCAATCGGGACGTTGTTGCCTACGGCAAGGGAGTCCTCAAGTTCGGTGAAACGCCCAGAGTCACGGCATCAGAGTTCTCTTTCAAACGCCCCAAGGGCGAGATCAGAGCAAACTCCCAAGGCTCGAGCAACGGCATTGAGATCAACCCATCCCGAAGATAGCAACTTCACATCCTCATTATGTGTCGGTTGTCGGTGTGTTGTTGAACCCAATTTCCACTCGCCCACCCATACTGTGCCACTCGCCCAATCAATGTCGTACGATGCCTCTTCCGTCGCCTGCATATTGTGAGATTCACGATTTTGGGCTGCGTCACGTACCAAAGCTAAGCACACCCTCCTCAACATGGAACCATGTGAACTTCTCCTCCTGGCTTCTCTCGTTTTGGTGAATTGCGCCCACATCGTGCGATTTTCTCCAGGTCCACCCGCGAGACGATGAGGAGTCTCCCGAAGTATTTGAATGGTTTTCCACATCCTTTCTCGTATCTGACTGTACTGCTCATCCTGACGAGGCTTGAATCGTAGTAGTCCGAACGACCGACGGGGTCCAAAGACTGTGATCTCCTGAACATCCACAAGCTCTTTCACATTCTCCCTGGCAAGGAACGCCGCAGACTCCTCCAAGATGACCTGTCGTTTGGTATCCTGCGGCCACCCACCAAGCACCAATGTTCGACGATCTTCTTCGCTTAGTTCTTCACGTCCAGGAACAGGGGGATCACGCCCTTCAGAGCCGCTGAAGTTAGGAGGAACATTGGCAGGATGAACTGTAGCACCCAGAGCACCTTTAGGAGGAAGAGGCCCATGCTTGTTACGGAACGCCATCCACGGATCAGGGATAGCCGGGCCCTCACCGACATTGCCACCCAACGACGAACTACTCTGCAAAGCAACCACTTCCTTTTCCAACTTCGCCAATCTTGCATTGTTTTCACCCTGTCTCTTCTCATTCTGTGCAATTCTACCAAAGATGGCCTCTTTGTCAACCCTGCCCTTGTGGTTGTCTTTCTCAACGGCCGTCAAGCGAATCTGAACGTCCTGCTCAACTGAGGATATACGTTGTTGAACTTCCTGCCAGTTACTGGTGAGCGTAGTGAAGTGTTCTTGCAACATGCTTCGGAGTTCTCGAGAACTAACGGGACGCTCTCCAGGGGATGATGCTCGACGCCCATGATCCAGTGCTTCTCGATCACCTGCAGGTTCTCGGGCACGCTTGGCTCTAGATGGACTACCACCAGTTCCGCCCGCAATTTGCCCATCCACAGACATAGCCTGAGGGGCACCATGTTCAGCACGCACTCCTCTCTCACCACTTCCACCAACGGTAACTAAATCTTCATCTTCGGAATCACCCTCAATGAGCTCAGTGGGAGAACGCACTGACATATCTTAAGGTCCTTCTTCTTCGGCAGAAGCGCGCAGAAGGGCAAGGAGAGGAACACCCGGGGATGCCCGAGAGGAACGGCGGAATCAAGTACGCAATGGAGAAGGACTCACCCACGCAATGAGAGCGATGCAGCCAAGTTGGGAAAGGCTAAAGGTCACACCCTGAACCGAAATGGGCTTGAGCCGTAGCCATTTAGGGTTTAGGGTTAGGGTTTAGGGTTTAGGGTTTAGGGTTTAGGGTTTAGGGTTTAGGGTTTTGGGTTTTGGGTTTGGGGCATCTTATCGTATGGTTCGAAAGAGGCGATAAAAGGGATGCTAATGCTGACTGTACAGATACCTGACTGCACAGACACCTATGTGATAGTGTTAACGTGCGGGTGTTCTGTAAATCCCGGTTTTGATGCTCAAACTAAACACGAGCCCCAGAGCCACAAACACCAAACTGCAATCGCCGGGAGGTGTTGCACGCCCCTGTGTACTAGGATCCGTCCTACATCCGTGCTAGAGCCTGTAAGATTAACCCCTAAGCCTATAGCTGCCCTACAGAGGCCTGAAATCTCTGGGCATGTGAGCGAAAACCCTAAAACCTACACCCTAAACCGAGAACTTCGCCTTGTCATTAAGACCCCTGTCAGGATAAATCGATAACCCTAAAACCCTGCCCTGAAGCACTAACACCTAATCTGCTTGTACCGCTAGACATAACCCTAATCGAAATCTATAAGGTATCATGATGAACCCTATCAAAGCCTTTAGTTGGGGGTGATGATCGTGCACAAGCTCGCCGCCGATTTATTTTAATATTTTTCTAAGATTTCACGCATATTGGATGGCACTCTGAA